AAATATAATTATTTTTTTGGTTCTAATCACATTTCAATGAAACTTGGTACATTGTGCAGACCTTTAGTTTTACACTTAAATCTGTTCATTTTAGTTACCTTATTTGCATAATTAGTTTTCAGCTATTCCATCAATATCTCAAGTATAAGTAATTTTGAATTAATTTTTAATGTGTCTCCAAAACACTCAGCACACAGGAGTTCTTTCTAAGCTTTCTTTGATTACAATTTGGGTTGCCTTTGAATCACATATTTTAATGAAACATTGTTTATAGAGTGAAATATTAATGTCATACATAATTCAATCTTTGAAACAACAGAAACTAACACATAATAACGATAATCAAATTTGTGTTTGAAGTTCGAAAGTACTTGCGTAATTTCCGGTTTCAAAGTTTGAAAGTACTTGCATAATTTCCGGTTTCAATGAGTTCGAAAATTGAACGTCCTTGAACGCGATAAAATCACGCATAGAACTCCTTCCGAACTAGACACTAGTAGCGTAAACTTATTGCAAATTTGCGCAATTTTGGGGCCTGTTTGTTCTTACAAGTTTTCTAAGTTTCATTTATCATTATTTAGTAAACATGCCCCTGAAACAATTTAATATATCCGTAAAATACGTAGCAATCGACGATTGACTTCGAAACGTTCGAAATTTCTAACAAAATCCCGGCACACCTTGCACGATATGCGTCAGATCGGTGTAGAAAGGATGCCGACCTGCAGCGTCAACGAGTTTCAAGTCATTAAAGATGTTTGAACAAACATGGCGGATCTCGTATCGGATCGAGCGTTTATATGTGACTGAAATCATTCGCTTGCGGTGAAACTAAGTTGAATTTTCACAACAATTCAACAAATTTATTTTTTGTACGTTATTGTAATCACTACTGAGTAATAATCAGCAATTGTAACACTTCGAAAACAAGTAAGTTATTCACTTGTGTGAAACTCAGCATGACCGTTACCGTGATCATTTGCTACTAAGAATGCATTCGTTTTTGTTTTGACTTCTTTTAGAATATACTTTTTGTTTTTGTTTGTGTATTTTTTTTTGTTATTATGCGAAAAATTTTTTTTTTTTGATTGACTTTTTTATTTTAATTTCTCTGATGTCTGAATTAAACATGGAATGTACAGTCACTCTGCCGGAAGTCGAACATGCCGCAATCGACTGTGTCAGACGGCTGTCTCTCACTTGTGACCTATACCGGTGAATTAGTCTATTCAAGAGATTGTAGTATACGGTACCGTAATCTGAAAATGCAAATCTATTTGTAGATATTATTTATTGTGCAGTATACAGTGTGAAATTTCGTTTGTGTACAAGTTTGTCTATGTGTAAAAATCCGAAAATGCCTTAGAATCGCAACAAAGTTGCAATCGATTGTCGTGCATTCATTAGCATATCATTATCTGTTTTGGCCTTTGTTTTTTGAAAAAATTTCCCACTATTACCGAAGTGAATACTCTAATTAAAGCCGCACCAAGACTTCACGCATCTGAATTCGTCCATTGAAAAAATGAATTTTAATTAAAGCCGCGGCCTCAATTAGGAATTTTACGGTAATTAGAATATATTTATGTAGTTACTATGAAGTTTAGTTTATGGCACAAATTGAATATGCAGCTTGCCAATAGAAATGGGAGGTGAGAACAAACTTTAATGTGATATTATATTTAATTCATTTTTCAGATGTACGGAGAGGTCTGATTGGTGTTGGTATGATTACCATTGATGAGAGGTATAATGTGCCCATGTTAGATAGAGGTATGTAAAAATGATGTAAAAGAATGCACTAAGTTGTCACCAATGTTCCTTCCAAAAAATGATTCATCCCCATCTCTTCCTTTTCATAAAAAGATATGCAATTTTTTTTGTAAGCTTGATTTGTGTTTTGAATATAGCCATAGATCATCTATTCCTTATTTGAACTTGATTGCTGTATTTGCATCCCTGAGTAACAAATGAAATGTCTTCCATACTCTCAACTCTCATTACGAGTATTCTTACAATTGACACTCACAATTGTCAATGCTTGACTGTAAAATATTTTCGCTTGGAATAATTCAGTAAAAATAAAATACAGCTAATATACCTATATTTTACATTCAACTTGTCAAAAAAACCTCCCAAAAAGTCTTTTCAGAGAAAATTAATTCCAGCTAAAATAAAGTACTGTAGAATACTTTATTTTCGCTTGGGATTTATTTTCACTGAAGGGATGATTCTGTGAAAATAAAATCCAGCGAATATACTTTTTTCCCTATATTTCACATTAAACTCATCAAAAATCAGTGAAAATAAATTCCATACAAAACGCCCAAAAAGCCTTTTCAGTGAAAATTAATTCCAGCGAAAATAAAGTATCCCACAGTATTTTACAGTATACTAATATGTCCGTAATATCACAATGCTGCGTCTGAACAATGATATCCAAAGTATTAAGAGATCTTTCAAGAAAAAGATAACAATAGAATGTTGTTCATTTTTTGAAACTGTTCAAATGCGAACAACGTGCACAGACAATAAAGACATGTATGACATAAACAAACTCTTTGCAAAATAATTTCAACTCGACTGTTATAAATGCATCTTTTGAACGCCTTCATGAATAATTATTCACGTAACAGTGCTTTAATGTGATACGATTTATAAGTTACAATCTTTCATAACTTCTGTAAGTCAAGAATAACTATTTTTTCATCTTTTTTTTCTGCAGAATATAACAGCATGTCGAAGTTCCTAAATCGGATACTTGGTATGGAGGTTGAACTTCAAAATAAGTTATTTGCTTTTTTCAGTGATACTTTAAATGCTTTGATTCAACAAGCTAAGAGAAATGGAAGATGGGACATGGGAATTCTAGGTCAGTGAAGACAAAACTAGGAATTGATTTTTAATAGCCGACACATTTTGGTGCTGATCACATGCAACTCATTTGCATATTGTTGGTAAACCTTTTGTAATGTGTTGACTCAGGAACACGCAAAACATCTAAGAAACCAGAGAGCATTCCTACCAATGGCACTACTTTTTACATATCAATACACTTAGGTGATCAGGTGACATATAACACCATTACAAAAGTCTCTATTCTGACATATACAATAAAGTAGTCCCAGGAACGTCACACCTTTGTAAATTGATATCCAATCATGAACAGATGAGTTTAGAGTTCCCAGAAACACAAGATTGCTAGGTTACCAAGTGTATGCAACAGAAGGTGTGTGTGTGTGTGGGGGGGGGGGTCATCTGTGGGCCCATTTGCCTCAGTTTTCCACAAATTGAACAAACTGGCTTGTATGAAACAACTTACAAATGTGTATACAGACAAAAAAAAATTATATTTCGTTCATTGTGTGTAAGTTTATGAATAAGAAAAAACATCATGAAAATTTAATAAACTTTCAAAGGTAATTATAGTTGCCTACAATATATTACCAACATGCTACTTGTATAGTAGGCTGTTTGCCTGCCTGAAATTTTTTTTTTTTTTTGCTGATAGCAAGTGAATTAACGTAGATCAACCCCCACGCACATGGTAGCATGACTGGTCTTTATTTTCTACATGAACGTGACCCTGTATTTAGGAATCTCAGGAGTATGTTTAATCTTACCCCAGACCATTCGTCCTGGTGTTATCGCTATCGCCACACGAGACTCCAGCTTGTCTCCTATACAATTTGACTGCGCACATCCAGAAAGTAGATGTAGCTGTGATTGGTGGAATACTAATGAGTTGAGTGTCAATCAAACGCCCACGCTATCTTTAGTAAACAAAGTCACGTGACACGCGCCATTTTAGTTTTGATTAGTTCATCGGATCGGAGTGTCGGTGCTCGCCATCCATAAATCAAATCAAAATGATTTCTAAGGAAATTGTCGCGTCAGCAGTGGACAGTGTCTTAAAACACATCGATGTTATGGAACGTCGTTTTGAACTCGAACGTGGTCGGGCAGGCGATTTCAAGGCAGCACGCTTAACCCTTTCGTTCACAGGTTGGGAGATATTAGAATGACTGACAATTTCACGCCACTGTTTTACATTATTGGCGGATTTTTCTGCGCTATCAATCTTTCTCTTACAAACTAGACATAGATGAGACGACAGAGTCGCTCCTTTCACAACGTCG